AGGCACAAAAGTCTGACTGCAGAACTCTTTACACGATCAGGGGCTTTGTGAAGGCTCACGACTCCCCTATGAATGAGGTATCATCCCCATTTCACACGTGGGGAAACTGAGGTATAGTGGGTCTGGGACTGGACCAGAGTGACACAGTTCCTGACTCCCAGCCGTGTGGTTTAACCACCCATATCCTTCCCTGTTTTCATCCTCTGTCTTTCACCGCCCCCCTTGCCCCAACACCACATGAGCTCTGATCAGGGCCCATTTCTGCTGCTTTGTTTTATGTTAATGTGAGCAAATGATTCAGCACCGAACACCTCTAGCCAGATCACGTACATTCCCTCTTTTGGGGACAGAATTTCTGGGCCCTCTGAGAAAGCTGTGGATTGTGTGTCTGTGCGGGGAGGGGGACAACTTCCACCTGCATACCACATTTCTCTAGCAACTCTCCCTCCCCCAGAAAATCCTGGCATCTTATTGCCGTCCCTTTTTGGGACCCCAAAGCTGCCAGAGTCCCCATGTACCATATGCAGCTCAGCGCTGAAGGCAAGTATCACCCAGGAACCTTTTTTAAAGTCGTAAACAGTAAACCCACAAGTAAGTTCTGAGCAGACAACCTTTGGGCCTGATTCTGATCTCATTTCCACTGGTGTAAATCCACTGAAAACAATGGAGTTATATCGGTGAGCTGAGAATCGGACCCTCCGCATCAGAACTGTATTCCTGGGCAATCTTAGGAGTAAGTTTTCTGCGGGGGTAACTGCACTGAAGACTGAGAATCTGCCCATTGATCCCTGTCCACTTCTTTCTAGCAGCTGTTTTCTTGTGAAAGCTGTTAACGTATGCTTGTTCTTGCAGCTGATATTAGGGGTCTTCCTTTCTGCCTGACATACAATACAATGTATACTTTGTCTTTCTAATATAATGTATGGGATGTTTTGTAACACAAGATCCAATGTGCTTGAGAATAAAAATTAAAAATTCAGTCATCTTTTAAATTTAAAAGATAGCTAAAAGTCACTCTGTATTTCTAGGCTATATACTTCTCATGGGGACGCTTGCCCGTACGCACAAAGCAGCTGAAGACTCTCCAATGAATGGGTTACTTGGGAGAATTAAAAGTAAGTTTCCCTGTATTCCAAGCAAAGTCCAATATAATGGTGTTGAGCTTGCGGTATTTATTACTCTGGCTCTAAATTGCCTTTCATATTTTCTTGGATCCCAAAGCTGTAGCCAACTTGGCTGGTTAAATGTGAATAACTGGTGCATTGTCTTCAAAACAAAGTCTGGCTTATTAAAAAGAAGAGTTTGCTTTTTTATAGTTAAAGTTAATCACACCAAACACAGGGAATGTGGACTGTAAACAGAAGAATGTCCCTGGGAAGTACATACAAGATCATTTCAGTATGTATGTCAAGAATTATCCCAGCGCTAGAAAAATTCTTAAATCTCTCTTTAAAGCTGGAACCAAATACCTGAACCCCAGGAAGATTAAAACTGGAGTGTTTGATAATATTGTAATAAGAAATGCCATGAAATACTTCAACTATTTTTCCAGGTACAACTAGACTTACTGGAATTGTACCGGATCGATTTTTGGAGATTAGGAATATAGCTTATACATATTTTACTGTATTATAGCACAGACTATTCTCAGCTTTATCTCATGTATAAATACCACAAATAATAATATAATAGGTGCTAAACACGCACGATTTAGTCTGCAAATAGCATTAATTATTGATTCACCAATTGCGCATGCTCTCTGATAAATTGCAAAGAGCAGGGCAATTAAAACAGGAGCACAAATTCATGGATTGCATAATTACTCACAGATTTGTGAGTTCTCCTTAAATGGTGAGACGAAAGCTAATTAGAAGCTGACATTTAATAGTATGAAGCAAGCATCATTCTCCATAGTTTTACTTTCTTAACAGAACCAGTTGCAAGCACAGTATTCGCAGAGTGGAAATTAGATGGAGCGAAATTCCATTTATAGAAAAGTAGAATGACAGTCCCATACAAATAAATAACATATTTTACTATTTTGCAGTGTGCCAACTGCAAGTCTGATTAGAGTAAATCTCCACTTATGGTACAGTCCCATGTCTCAAGCACTTGCATTGCTTCCTCCTCCATATTAGCACATAAGATTGCTTTTTATATTAGTGGGTCTGTGTTTCTTCTACACCTACTAGAGCATAAAGCCTACATCCTAACAGCAAGGGCTCATAGCTAACACTGTTGTCATGTGGTGTCCAGTTGGCAAACAATTATAACATTAACCTCTCAAAATGCTGCCTAATGTTTGTGTGTTCAAAATCAAAGAAATAGCTGGACAATAGAATTTTGTTTTTCCATAAATCTTAGAAAATATTTATTCTACAGGAGTCAAGAAGACCCCAGGAGTTAATTCAGCCAGAGTATTCCGCTATTCCATTATTTGCACCCACTTATACCAAGGTTGAATTTGGTCCCTGATAAGTAAGGTGCCATTTTCTGTACAATCTCCTTTTCAGAGGAGATGACCGAAGAGTGTACAGGGTCTCTGATAACTATCTTGCATGGCAGCTGATCTGACTCCATTGTAGAGTTTTATACATGTTTCTAGCTGTTTTTCAGTTCATTAATCCCTCCTCACACATTTCATTTTACAAATGCATAACAAGGACCAGATCCTGCAAAGTCTTAGGCATGGGGGTACCCAAGTAGATACCCCCCTGAAGTTAATGAAAACTGTTCCTATGTGTAAAATTACTCACATGTGGGATGAGGCTCCAAGTTTGGAACCTCAATATTTACTTTATGAATTTGTTTTTTAAAATTAAAACCCACCCTATCACTTTGGTGAGCAACAGTTAGTACTCGTGTGAGGACTTTGGCATATTAAGGTGTAAAAAACAGTTTTCAATAAAACATTAAACACATCCTGAGAACCTGAAAAGAAGGTGAACTTTCAGTGCAAATCTGCACAGGGGGAAGAAGGTACTAGAGTGGTAACTGAAATTCATAAAGTGTTGTTCTTTCCTATGGAGAGCTAACATCTCTATGCTGCATATAGTTTTTACTCTGTATTTAAGCCAATTAAATGTCTGGTTGAATACATCTAAAAATCTGTTTTTTTAACAGAAAAATGTTTGAAAGAACCTTGGGCAAAATCCTTCCCTCCAGCAACTCCTCCTAAGCCTCAGTCTTTAAAAGCAATTTATAATTCAACAGATTGAAATTGACAAAATGAAGCAGAACAAAAATCATAATAAATCTGCTTAAATCCTCCTCCAACCTCAAACACTTCACAGACCCTTTGTCAAGATGATCAGAATCAGGTTTCTATCTATATAGCTGCTGCCAGGATTTCCAATAGAGCTGTACTGTTCAGCCATACCGTGGATAACTTTTCAAACTGCATCACGCTCTGAAGCACGATTCAAGCAAATAGCAGTAGCACAGAGCCACCTCTCAAGCAAAAACAACTTCATCCTTTGGAAGAGAACATGAACGTTTCCAAATCTTGTCTCTGATACCAACGGCCCTGACACATGTACATAAACTGTTCTGAATAGCGCACTGTTCCACGTTCAGAGCAGAAATGACTGTAGCACTGTTGCTTCATGCTCACAAACAAATCAGACTGATTTGGAATGAAACAGTTTCAGCAAGCTGAGAAGCCAGCTCTGGTATGTCTAGTCACAACTTCAGACCTAGCCACATGTAGCATTGCAATAACCAGCCTTGTACTCTCTCTTACTGTACAGAACCATGTCACCCAGGCCAGTGGTTCTCAGCCAGGGGCACACGTACCACTGGGGGTATATCAGCTCATCCAGATATTTGCCTAGTTTTACAACAGGGTACATAGAACGCACTAACAAAGTCAGCACAAACTAAAATTTCATACAGACAATGACATATTTATACTGCTTTATATACTATACACTGAAATGTAACTACAATATTTATATTCCAATTGATTTATTTTATAATATGGTTAAAAGGAGAAAATCAGCACTTTTTCAATAACAGTGCGCTGTGACACTCTTGTATTTTCATGTCTGATTTTGTAAGCAAGTAGTTTAAGTGAGATGAAACATGGGAGTATGCAAGACAAATCAGACTCCTGAAAGGGGTACAGTAGCCTGGAAAGGTTGAGAGCCACTGAGCGAGGCTGATTTATTTATTTTTTTACACTGGAAATTGGAGCATGTGTCTGATACGTTTTAATTAGCAAACCCTTACTATGATTTATCCTCCAGTTCCCAATCCAAACTGCAAATAATTCTCCACAGGGAAGTGATGGGGGCTTTGAATGTCCCCAGATCCCCCTGAACTCTGTCACTGGTTGTCCACCAGGGCCCAAACATTTGCCAGCCAATCCTAACAGCACAGTAAGGAAGTAGGCTGCTGGCTGCTTCCACAGTTTGCAGCTGGAGCAGGGGTTCTAGGTTTGAAGTGTAGCTGTCTTCAGGAAGGATTAACCCATGATGTGCTCTGTAAGAGCCTTTTAATGTTTTGCCTCTGGGGTTCACCAGTGGCCCATCTCACCTTATGAAGCCTGGATGAAGAGAGGGATTAATCATGAGGGAGTCTCACTCCTCACTAGAGACCACATCCAGGTCACCCTGAGGTGCAGGGGGTTGGGTTTACAAAGAGGGTCCATTTGTAAAACCCAGATCCAGGTTTGGATCCAATGCTGGAAGCTCCTGGAATCCTGGTTTGGGTCTGAGTCACTCTTCTCAGTCCCTGCCTGCCTCTGACACCCAAACAGGGTAGTACAAACCCACTTTCTTCCTCCCACCCTTTGTCCCTCTTGTCTATTTGGATTGTAAACTCTCTGGGGCAGATCCCAGAACAAAAGTGTCCTGATGTGTAATAGGGGGTGGTCCCCAGTGAAAGATGGAGACAGTTCCCCCACTTAAACCCCTGTGGAGCCAGGAACAGGAACCACCCCAGCCTCTCACCCTTGGGAGGAAGCTGTAGGGCCCTAGGGGGGTGGGAAAGGCTCTTACCACTTTGCCTTCCTTGGCTTCCTTTCTGGGCCCATGTCCTGGGTGATCCGTCCCCGTGCTGCTGCCCCCAATGATCCCGGGAGCCAGGGTGTAGAAAGGGGGGCTAGGGCTGGGAGGCAGCCCAGAATCCGGACTGTCCAGCAGGCCCTCCCGGCTCTTCTCTTTCAGACTCTCTTCCATTCCTTGCAGGTGCAGGTGGCCCACCATCTCTGGGGGGCAGCGGAGCCAAGCTGAAGAAAATCCGCCTCCTTCCTGAGCTTGAAGGTAGGAGGTGAAGGGCTTCGGGCACGGCCAGGAGCCCCACAGTCCAGCCAAGGAGCCGCCCCCGCTCTGGCACTGCTGCCCGCAGCCCGAGCTGACCCTGCGGGGGAAGGGAGCAGAGAGGGCGCATCAGAGACAAGACCAGCCCTGATCCGCTCCCAACCTCGGTCACGCTGGGTGCCCTGCCCCTAGCAAAGCCCAGGGCAAGAGGCTAAAGCTGCCGAAGAAGGTTCCACTCCTGTCCCTAGCCCCAGCGCAGAGCGCACCGACCCTACCGCCGGGGCAGAGCGCACGGCGTCCCCTTCCCCAGCCCTGTCCCCGAAGCAGAGCGCACGTATGAGACCCTCTCGCTCCCTAGAGCAAAGCACACAGGACCCTTCCCCGCCCCCTCCGCCAGGCGCAGATCCCCTGGCTCCCTGCCCTTGGGATACAGCGCACGCTCCCCCCTCCCCTTGTCACCAATCGCTGAACCGGGGATAGAGCGCTCGGCTCACCCCGAGCCTCTCTCCTCGGAGCAGAGCGCACGGCGATCCACCGCCCGCCCCTGCACCTGGGCCACTGACAGCGCCACCAGGGCAGGGCGCGGGGAACGCAGGGCACCGACCCGCCCCCCTCCAGCGCCCCCGTCTCCGCCCCGCACGGATCCGCCCCTGTGCTCGGTGCACTGAGCCGGGCAAACTAGCCCAGCCCCCCTCGCCTCGCCGGGCGCGGCCACGCTCTCCGCACGCCGGGGGGTGCATGGGGAGCAGGGGCACGGATCGACCCCAGGCTGCCTCGCCGGGCCACGCCAGGAGCGAAGCGGAGCCGGGCTGGGGATTGGTGCCCCCCCTCCGTGTTTGGCTTTACACGCTTCCTTCCTGCTGCGCCCCAAACACGCCCAGCAGCAGAGCCGGGGCGACGGGGGCACAGGGCAGGCGGCTGCCCACCGCCTCCCCCTGGCGAGCAGACCGGGAGCCAGCGCTCAGTGTTGGGGAGCCCCTGGCGGGGGGGGGGTGTCCCTCGTGCGTTTGCAAAGCGCAAACCTCCCCCGCGCGCACACCCTGCTGCCCCCCGACGCCAGCCGGGCCCGGAGCCCCGCACCCCGCTGCGGGAGGCCGGGTGCGCCCGGAGAACCGGCGGGAGGCGCGGAGCCGAGCGCAAGCAGCGGCCGTTTACGTGCGGTGCAGCGAGCGGTCCCCCGCGGCGGGCGGCTCCCCGCAGCAGCAGCCCGGCGGGACTGAGCGCTCGGAACTGGCTCGGCGGCTGCCTGGGCGCGCTCCAGCGCCGGCAGCCAGGGAGAGCTCGCCCGGCCCCGCCGGTCCTGCGCTTCGCAGCAGCCGCTCGGGCGCAGGGGGCTGCTGCCGCCGGAGAGGTATTGGGGAAATCCTGCCGCTCGCTTTGGTTCTCCCCGCCTCCTGCCGCTTAATGGAGTGGGTGGAGAACCAAGGGGCCCTTCCCCCCTCGAACCCTAGCCCCCCCTTCTGTGCATGTTCAGTCACTTCCCGGGCAGGGGAACGGGCTTCTCGCAGCCCCCTCGCTGGCTTTTTCGGTGCTGTGCATTGTTACTGGCTCGGGCAAGGCCAACACACCCGCCCCTGTAGCCTCCAGGCTTTTTTTTGGGGGGGGGGAGCTCCCTCTCACCCCCATCCAGCTACCCCATACACTTGTCTGGGTTCTTATTTATAGGCCCATCCACAGGGCTGGGCATTGCCCAGTGGGCTGGAGAGCGCCTCTGAGAGCAGCATTTCCCAGAGGGGGAAGCTGGGGAAGGCTCTTGGAAGATGGGCCTTTAACAACATATGCCAGGCTGGTTTCCTGAAGGCCTAAATCCACACCAGGCCCTTGACTTTAGTGACGCGACACTGATTTACATCAGCTAAGAAGCGCTGATCTTACCGCCGCATGCCGTGGCTGTAACATTAGGGTGCCCCAGCACCTCGACCTTTTGGACACCCAGGCTGGGGCTACAATTAAAAGTTAGGTAACCACAGCGACATAGGGCAGGGCTGTGCAAAAGCCACACGGGGAGCACCCTAACTGTGTGTACCTAACTCCCCCTCCCCTCCCACGTAGCTGCAGCTATCGATGGACAAATGCTTCCCATCGTTTGGGGTGGTGGTGTTCCTACACCATCAGGACAACCGCCTTCCGTCGGCTGCGGCTACACCAGGGGTTGTGGCCGTTCCAAAAACTCAGCAAACCAATCTAGTACAACAGGAAAAGCTTTTATTTTTGCTTGGTTTCTGCAAAGATAAACTGCAGAATGGGTTTTCTTACAGCTTACAATGTGGAGAGAATGTGAGTCAGTGTACACCTTGAAGGGGGGATAGGGGGAGCTGGCATTAGGTAGTCACCACCTGCCTAGCCAAACTGAGACTGCTGCTTATTGCACCGCATTATCTCGTCCTCCCGCTGCGTGTGTTTCTCAGGCACCTTTTGCACCTGTGCATAACCTAGATTGTGAGAAATTTGGGGCAGGGCCTGCTGATATGACAGACCAGCTTTCAGGCCCTTTCTTTGCGCTGAGCAGGCCCTTGCCTCGCAAGCAGGCCTGTTAATGTCAACAGGACTGTTCGCTGTGAGTAAGGATGTCACACCTTGGACCTAATGATGCACAGCACAATGGGGCCCACGGCTTTGTTTGGAGCTCCTTGGCACTGTGGTAAGGCAAAACCCACAAGGAGATGTTTTTGTAAATTGGAGTAACAAATGAGGGGGTAATTATCATTGTATGGACTATGTCTGGTACTGACTGTTTGTCGGATCGGGACTGGTAGGCAGGGCCGGCTCTGGCTTTCTGGCCGCCCCAAGCAAAAAAAAAAAAAGGAAAAACCCGCAGCGGCCAGAACAGCAAAGCAAAAAAAAAACCACCTGCAGGAGCCAGGGTGCAGGGGGACTCCCTGCCCTGCAGATGTGCCCTGGCTAGCGGGGGGAGGGGGAGGGAGCAGGGGGAGAGAGAGAAGGGGGGCGGCAAGGGCTTCAGCGGGGCGCTGCCACGCGGCCCCTCCCACCGTGTCCCCTGCCGGGAGGGCTCCACACCACTCCGGTCGGCTGGGAGGGAAGGACGCGGACTGCCCTGCCGGGCTTGCTGCAGGGCACTCCTGTCCTCCACGCCACTGCCCCCTACAGGGCGGCCGGAGCGGAACAAAACAAAACAAACAAACAAAAAGCGGCCGTGCCGCCCTAGGATTGGGCGGAATGCCGCCTCCTACAAGCTGCCGCCCCAAGCACCAGCTTGCTCGGCTGGTGCCTGGAGCCGGCCCTGCAGGTAGGGAAGAGAGAGGGGCTGCAACATAAAACAAATCACGTGGTTTGACTTGGTAGGTTAAGGACCTGGCCTGCTGCTTCCAGGAGGACTTTGACTTTGATTTTTACTCTCCACAGGCCGGCTCTGCCACCCTTACCCACATTGAGTAATGCTTTAGGGCCAGATTTTTAAGGCTATTTGGGCACCTGATATGTCAGGTAGTGCCTATTGGGCTGTTCAAACGCACCTAGGTGCCTAACTCCCATTTAAATCAACGGGTTTTTGGCATCTAAGTACCTTTACAAATCTGGCCCTTACGCCCTATCCCAGTTTTATACTCATGTAATTCCATCAACTTTACTGGAGCGGCTCCTGATTTACTCTGGTGTCACTGAGTTCAGAAGCAGCCCACTGACTTCAGCCTCCTTGAGTTGTTGGTGTGACTTTAGTGCAGTAAGCTACTCAGTGTGAGTAAAGGAAGGCAGAGTCTGACCTCAAACAAGCCGTGCTCCTGCACACAGCCCCCTCCAGTCCATTCGGGTAGTGGTAGAGGAACTTGGCTGTCAGTAAAACTAGATTTGATTAGGTTTATTCAAGTTCAGGTCAAAGCAAAGGCCAAGGATGCCCAAAGCCACTCTTGGCTGAAATGAAGTGCCTCTCTCAGATTAACTATAGTGATTTGTATGCACTGAGCAGTGCAGAAAAATGTAGTTGATTTATAAATGTCAAATAGCCAGCAAGCAGCCCACACAATAACCTCAGTGAATTATTACCTCTGACCCATTCATCAAACCCAGCCAATCATCTGGTAGTGCAGAGTGATTTAAAGCCTATTACTGTAAGAGCTTTAATGTCTCTCACAGAATGCAGCTGATCTGCAAATGTCAAAGGGGGGCTGAAGGTCACAATGGCCATAAATTAGGCCTTGGCTTACCACCTATGGAGTTAGAGGATCCCCCGGCATGCTAACAGTGTGACCCTTGAACATTCAACCGGTTAGCCCAATGCAGCCTGTCATCAACCCGCCCTCCTGAACTGGTGAGTCTGTACCAGCAAGAGCAAGCATGGTGCTGTGCAAGGCTGTGTGAGAGGCAAAGGGAGTGAGACAAAGAATTTGGGCTATGGAGAAGGGGTGAGGGAGACATTTTCTCCTGTTCTGGATTGTCTATGTTTCAATGGAGCTGTCACCCTGAAGCTGAGTCCCGTGTCTCAACTGAGTGGGACCTGGTTAAAGAAGCCATGTTCGTCTCAGTCTCAAAACATGGCACAAAGGTGCACAGCAAAAGAGGCTGGGACCAGTGTGGAGCGATGCTGGTTGACAGCATTATCCAGAAACTTTTACCTGTGCCTGGTGACAATAAGCCACTTAACAAGGTCCCCGACTCCTGTTTTGCGCTTGTGTCTATTGCACTGGCTGCCTCATCTGGGAGATTCACTAGGTTAGCCTGGATGTTCTCTTTGGCCACTTGGCTGCCTGTAGGTTTCTCCCATGAGGCATCAGCTGAGCCTGACAGGAAGTGAAACAACGTTGGGTGACACTCAGGCAGCGCTCGCGCTGCCTTAAATGAGAGAGTTGCCTGAGGAAGGCCTGAGAATGGACTTTAGGCTCTAACAGTTACCTTTGCTATCTCTATGCGAAAGAACCGTGCATATGCATTACGAGACAGTCTTTCATTACATGATCACATGCTATTTTTTTCCAGAGCCCCTACCTCATTCAGTAAACTGGATGGCCTGTGCACCGAGGATGATTCAGGATCATGTAGTGGAGGCAGCTGTCTGTAGGACTCCTGCCTCATCCAGTGCCGAAGTTGGAAGGTGTGTATTTTAATGATGTTTTGGTTTTAAAGCAGGAGGAAACCTAGCCACCGAATCTATAGCGAGGGCGAGCCGGGCGTTTCAAAGTGTAGACAAAATCCATGGCCGTCACAGTCTTCTGCTTGGCATCCTTGGGTCCTTATTAGATGACTATTTGCCAGAATCCAGACTCAAGAAAGACTTCAGGGTTTGCTTCAGAGAGACATGACTACAGCGTACAAGGAGACAGATATTGTACAGCATCCACCAAAATATAAAGACCAGCTAGGGGCTGTTCTCTAGATAGTGGAAATTGTCATAGCTCCAGTTTTAGGAACATCTTTTCAGCATGGTGATGTCAGAAGTAGGGCACCTGAGAAAATGCTCCCTCATTCCAGGCTTGCTAATTGAGAGAGTTGTAACGCCGGGAGAGAGACGTTTCCAAGTTATGGCTTGGAAGGCAGGAAGGAGCAGGGGCATTGGGCCCTGACTGGTGTGGTTGAACCAAGAGGAAGGAAGAGACTGGAGGGAAGTTTTCCAAAATGGCTGCGTGCAGCCGAACAGGGGCATGCAGCTGGCACAATGGGCAGCAGTGTCCTGAAGAGACATGCGGTGGCACAGCAGCCTGCCCCACCACCAGTGCTTCTGAAAGAGCGACCTTAGTTAGCAGGGAATGGGAGTACAAAATAACAAAAAAGCACCGAATCAGCAAACCTCCAAGAAAAGCCGCATTTGTCAAATGGGCCACAGCGGTTATTTCCATCTCAGTTGGCGATGTGTTTTTAGCAGCGGTTATTAAGTTAGTCTTTGTAAAATATACAGTTCTTGCAACCCCATTGTTTTTCTTCATCAGCTTGTTTCACTGAGAAAAACAACACAGGGCCTGATCCTGAGAAGTGCTGAGCACCCGCACATCATTGGGAGCTGCTGGTACTCAGTATCGCTCTGGATCAGACTCTTACTACAGCAATCAGATGAGTCTGTTGCTGGAAGGGCCTTTCAAGTGCATGCAGATTACAGCAGAATGGAACTGAAACGCTACTTGGTTCATATAAATTCATATGGGTGAGATCCACATCTGGTGTAAGCGCTCATAGCTCCAGTGAAGTCAGGGGAGCCACACGGGTCGCATCAGCAGAGGGTCTGTCTACTGAGTTCCATGCAGTTGTGCGTGGGATTTTCAGACAAGACCTTAAAAACCCAGGTCCATTCTTTTCTGCATGGACATTAAAGATCTCAAGGACCATTGTGTGTAAGTGACAGATCTTTGCCCCGCGTCCTTGGCCAAACTTTCTCCCTTTCTGTTGGGTCTTTTGCTCTGTACTGGCTGTTCTCTTTCCAGCTGGTGGCTGCCCTCAGCAGGACTGTAAGTATAAAAGTGCTGATTCTCCTCTGGCTTACACCAGTTTCACACCAGGTCAGTGGAGTGGCTCCTCTTCTACGCTGGTGGGAGATGAGAAATAGGTTCAGCTTTCTCCTCCCACACATCTTCCCCTCATGGTCCCTCCACTGCCCACCATACACCTCTCCCTCTCTTCCCCTCCACTGCCTTCCTTTGTTTCCATACTCCCATGCTTCTATTCATTCTTCCCCAGACCGCCCATCCACCCTGGCCCCCATAATAGCAATAAAAAAACCCTGCGGTGCCAACCATCACCCTGCTCATTCTCTATGTTATGTCCCTTTCCTGCACCTTTAATCTGTCTTGCTTATTTAGATGTCGAGTCTTTAGGGCAGGGGCTGTATTCTCTTCCGTGTCCCAGCACAAGTGTTCCAATCCCGACGGAGGCCTTTGGTTGCTCCCAACATAAAACAATCCTATAGTTTGTATTGGACTCCTTTAGGCAAAGTGGCGCCACATCAGTCTAAAGCGTGAGGATGATTTTCCAAGTCTGACCAAGCTGTCGGGCAGGAAGAGGGATTGCAGGCCGCCTGGCTGTGTTTAATTAGTAAAGGGAAGCACCTGAGTCAAGCAGCCAGCTCCGGCATAAACAGCAGCCGGTGAATACCACAGAGAGGCAACAACAACCACAGGCCTTTGGTTTGGTGGTGTAACTCTTTGGCGCTGGAATCTAGCCTCCAGTAGACTCCAGTACTGTTAATGGCAAGTACCTAGGCATTTGGTTAATTGCAGCCTGGGAACTAAGCCACCTTTCTGATTGTTTATTTCATGCTTTTGTATGCACCCCCCCCTTCTCTGTCAGAAGGAGGGAATTCCTGCATTTGGGGGGGATTCTCTTATGAAGATTGTGGCCAGACTCTGAACCTAACAAGCTATTTGTTAGACCAAATTCAACCCGCAGGGACACTTGCATAAAGCCAGAGGAAGTCCATTGAAGTTAGTGTCATTAGTAGTGTGTCTGAGTGCAGAGATTGGTCCATTGGCATCATTAGCGTTACTCTGTATTTACATTAAAATCAGAATCCGGACCTGCTTCTTGGAGTGAAGCTCTGAGGATCTGCATGAGATCCGAGGAGTCCATTTGTCATCTGTGCTACCCACGTGATTATATTTCTATAAAACGCTGGTTGATTTTTTGTTTAGGTCTTGGGGGGGGGAGTGCCTTAAACAAAAATATCTTCCCCTGACCCCCCCCTCTTAACTTTGTTTTCTTTTAAACTTGACTCTCTACATTGCTCCGAGAGGGTTTATAAAATCCAGTGAGGAAAGAAACTAAGCAGGCTGAGTCACACAAGGGAGGCATATCTAGGCCCATGCAGTTCACTGTGTGTCTATCTCTTAGATGAGACATTAAGGCTGAGATTTTCCAACACTACCCTAAAGGAGTTGAACATTCAGTTATTGCCAACGTCAATGGGAAATGGGCACTCAAATGCCATAGGCAGCTTGGCATATTGCAGCCCCAACTAGCCCCCTAGTTTGTGACAGGTCAGGTGTGCAATTGCATGTGTAGAAAGGCTCATGTGTGCACTTGCATGTTGAATTTGTGCATGCAAAATTACCATCTTTGCATCCATAAATTGGGTGCTTGCACACTTCTCTCCCTTTGTGCCACTCAGGAGAGAGCTGGATGCTGCCAAGAATCTGGTCCAGGGTATGAACAAGTATATGAACAAAACCCGATTTGCCGTGATTATCTGCACAGAATTGTGTGTGCATGGTGGCATGCCTCACCTTGCTGAAAACCCAGACCTTAAACGCACTCGCTTTTATTTCTCTAGCTATTCTTTCAGCTGAATTTTAGTGTATTAAGATTGCAGCCTTGCTTACATGGCAGAATGTCAATATCACGTGCTAAATTTCCTATTCCTGCTGCCAGCCTTGAAAGACAAATACGGTTAGGAAAGAAAAGAAACGATACAACCGCCGACATCAGGACTTTTCCTGAAGCAGGCTGGGTGGCAAAATGTTAGGAATGTTAGGAATTCCCATTACGGCTCACCATTAAACTTGATCCTTTGGGAACACCCACAATATAACTAGTCCCAATAAAATTGACTTAAGCCACTCTTGGATGTAGCGCTCTTTGGTTCCCTTTGAAAAGGTGGAGCATGTGTCTTGGGCGTCGTTTGATGTGCTCCTGTGAATAATATTCCAAGGTGCTGTAGGTCTGAAACATCAGCATGGCTGGAGCCAAGAGGGGGTAGCTCTGTGTGCAAACAGGATTGGACAGGACTAGGCATTCAGTGTGTTGGGGCTGATTCTTCCTGGTGGTGCACCTTGTGGAGTTGTGCGCACCAGTGCAAAGTGAGTGTGAAATGCCACTGAATCAGGATGGTGGCTTGTTTACACTTGCTCGACACTGGAGCAGGGACGGCACAAGATGCAGGGCCAGGAGGCTCAGGCGCGTGTAGTGTTTTACCTGGAAAATGCACAGAGATAGAGCGCTCCTGTGCAGAACAGGAGGGCAGAGCTCAGTTCAAGAGCCTTTCTCCCAAACTAGCAGACACACTTCAACAGGAAATAAAAGCCCCTTCTTTCATAAACAGGCCCATTGCTTTCAGCCCCTATAACAGAAACTCCAGCAAGGCAAGGTCTTCAGCTCTTGGCTGGTTGGTCAAGCCGAGTCCACAAGCCAAAAAGAAGCAAAACATAATATACACTTGGGCCTCAAGGAGGCAGAGAAAGGATCTCTCCAACACATCCACAGCCGCCTTATTACCGTCCTACTCACCGTACATATGGACTTCTTCCCTTTGAGCACCTTTGCTGATTCCTCTGGGTCCAAGCTTCCCCCTTCATCAGGTAAATGTCATCTCGCTTGAGGCAAATGGGTGCAGGGGGGAAAGACCAAAATCATGAGGTTCCCTGTAGGATCCCGAATGGTCTGCCTAGCACCCCATCATAGGAAGTCAAGTCAGAAGGAAACAAACTCTCTTCTATTGCTCTGGACTTAATGTAAATACGGTAAAGATGCTGCCATCATGTACAGTCAAAGACAAGACGTGAAATGTTGTTACTTTGGCAAGAGAGGATTATCGTTAAATAACTTCCTTAAAGTTAGCTGGGCAGAGTGCCTTGTTCTGAGTTTTGATTGCAGCAGTCTATACAGTTCAGGCTGCAGCCAAGACATAAAATAAGGGAAAGCTACATTCCAGAGTACATGCCTGATCCAAAGCCCATTGACGTCAATGGAAAGACTTCCATTCACTTAATTGGACTTTGGATCAGGCCCTCAGTGGAGACTACGCGATTGCCAATTGACTGCAGACAGTGTTTACTGAAGACCCACATACTATGACATGCTCAAGTCAAAGTACGCCTTCCAAAGTCTCAGTACCAGCAAAGGCTCCTGCCAGTTAGCCAGTGAAATTTCCTCCACTTCTCTGTCAGAATTGCTGTGCTGTTAGCTTGGAGGATAATCAACAGCAAACCCATCCATAAATCAGGAGTTACCAAGTGCCGATAAGGTGTTAAATTTCAGGCTCACGAGGCCATCTTTTTAACAATGACAGTCGAAAGGGAGAGCATGAATTCTTTTACACGGAAAAAAAATTCTTGGAAAAACCACCCCCCTTTTGTTTGCCTGTGAATACACTCATGTGTTTTAGATTTCTGCACTGCTCTCCTGCCCGTTAGATGGGAGCACAACGCAACCTGAACGCTTTCACTCTCACGCCAAACCAGGAGATTAAAGTGCCACAGCCGGGCTTGAACCATTAAACCATTTCAAAAGACACAGAACTAAAGTGCTGCCTGATGTACAGACACCCCATGTGAAGGGGCCTGTTCATTCAAGAGGAAGGATGGCCTACTAGTTAGGGTACTAACCTAGGACTTGGAAGGTCTAGGTTCAAGTCCCTGCTCTGTCACAGTCCTTCTGTGTGACCTTGGGCAAGTCACTTAGTCTCTGTGTGCCTCAGTTTCCCATCTTTGCAATGGGGCTAATGCCACTGCCCTACCTTTCAGGGGTGCTGTGAGGATAACTACATTAAAAGAGTGTGAGATGCTCAGATACAATGGTGATGGGAGGGCATATAAGTACCTTTAATAGATTCTGACGGCTTACTGTGAATTCAGTGCCATGCCTGGGGAACGTGCTGCACTGACACACTTGCAGGGTGAAGTCCTCTGCCTAACCACAACAGGTACAGCATTGGCGGTGCTAGCTGCCTGCATGCCATCCCTTGTGCCTCTGCCTTTGTGGGGCCATGGGCCTGATCCCCAACCCTTCAGAGTCAATGCAAAGACTGTGGATTTCAGTGGGCTTAGGCTCAGGAAGATGGGTTAGTTCCGTCTTCATTCAGTTCTTGGCCTCTCTGATGAGGCAGCCAGGCAGTCTCATGGTTTTGTGACGCAGGCATTTGACTGCCAACTTATCTCATGTAGTCCATCAAATAGCCAGTAAACAAGGACTTTTGGTCACTCATGACCAACTGAGGCTGGATTCAAACTGGGAAGCTAGAGGCCAGAGTCTCTGTATCCCATTATTAATCTCTCTGAGCACTCTAATCTCCTGCTGTTTTAAGTCCGGGCTTCTTGGAATGGCCATCCGTAGTGTTTCTTTCCCTTGCTGCTGCTCCTTTGACTTTGTTTGCTGGTCCGTGATGGATCCTGCAGCACTATTCATCTATTAAACTGATTAATGTATTGTGTCTGTTATACGCAAAACAAGGTCCGACTCAAAGAAGATAATAGCTGAGCAATCGCTCTCTTCCTATTGTAGATAAGGTACGGCTAACAATAGCATTAGCTGTAAAGAGGTAGATCACTTTCCTGGATATAATGGGGTAGCTGGTGGATTGTGAGAGGGTTTCTGCTTAAACTTTATCAGCCTGATTTCCAGAGGTGCTCCGTTGAAGTCAGTGGGAGCTCCAGGCTTCCAGCACTTTTGAAAAGGCCAAAAACTAGCTGTGTACAGAATCAGAGTTGAATTTAGATCTGAAATGGATTTAGTGCCAACCTCCTCCCAGGTCATGCGTTCCTTTTCATTACCAAACCCTCCAGCAAGAGCATAAAAGGCATGCCGGTGTTAAAATGCAGGTTGGATAACTGGACTTATTTGGCTCGTTTATAATTAAAAATTAATAAAATAACGATCAAGTAAGTTATCTAACCCAGGGTGTGGCATCTCAAAAGAGTCATCTTTTTAAATAGCATGGTTCATGTTTCTACAGCTTTTCCAGTTGATGTTCTCTTTTCATTCACAAATAAAACATTGACTTACTATGCGGGAATATTGTAAAAGGGGAAACCTGTGCCCTAAACCTTTATGATTAAATAGTGCAAAGTAGTAAAATCCTAAAGGAGAAGCCAGGAGATCATGAGGGTAACACTGAGCTTGCTAAAATGTCTGAACTAATGACTGCTTTCCCTCTGATATGTCTCGAGTCAGAGCGAACGTGCCCCTGGATGGCTTCATGCAGTACTGCTTGGACTGCCTGATTCATAGCCATAGACTGTGTTTCCCACTTCTGTTTTTCTAGCCTAGTTAGTTTTGTGACAAGCAAGGGAAAAATATCTCAGTGGGAAGGAAGCTTCTGTTCTAGGACTGCTCAAAGAAAAACAAGCGATATCAGGAACAGGCCAAAAGCTACCTTGATCCCTTTCGGAAAGTAACTAGTTTTCCAGATGAAGATTTTCTCCCAAACTGCAATTTTTAAAAGGCAAGAAAAATGTGATTATGGGAAGAACAATTCTAGGAAAGAAAATTAAATCCATTTCAGAGTTGGGTTTTATGTTCTTTTTAAAATGGAAGATGCCAGGTGAATGGAGGGAGACATTTAAAACACCACCAAGTGTCTTCGAGGCAATTAATTGCTGTCATAGAGTCTAGAATAGTTTATATGCTAACCAGCATATGGAGATGACATTGCATTTGTCTTTTATTTATGACACGCTCTTTCCTCCTGTGATGTCACACAGTGAATGGCAAACAGTGGCGCTGGAACACTTTTACTTGTGGGGGTGCTGAAAGCCAGCCCCCTTACCCCTGTCTGTGCCTCCACCCCCACCCCAGAGCTGGGGCCGGGAGCAGGGCCGTCTCTAGGGGAGGGGGGACCTGGACAGGGCTAAGGGGGCTGAGGCTAGGGTTGGGCGCAGGCATTTGACTGCCAACTTATCTCATGATGTCCATCAAATAGCCGGCAGCTGGGATCCCGTGTGCAGGGCCGGGAGTTCAGTCCCGGGTATGAGGCGGCAGCCAGGACTCCACATGCGGGGCCAGGAGGAGAGCACAGGGCTCAGGGCTGGCAGCTGGGACCCCGTGTATGGGGCCTGGAGCGGAGCCGGGGTGGCAGCCAAGACCCCCGTGTGGGAGGCCAGAAGCAGAAGCCCACGTAAAACCTGAGAGTGCTGCAGCATCCCGCGCACCCCTAGTTCACGCACCTATGATGGCAAATATATTTCCTTTCCAGGCGCTTTGTGGTTACTGACAGTGAGCTACTGGACTAAAGCTGGGAAGGGGGAGCAGTGCGTCCTGAAATGCCTGTGACAGGTCTGGCTCTGTGGGAAGAGGAGAAGCGGCACAGACACATTATGGGCTAGAACCAGGTAGGACAAGAAAAGGATCTGTGCATATTATGGGTGAGCTGTGGTCGAAAAGCTATCTTCTTCCAAGAGGCTCTCTCCAAACTAAACATGGCCTTTGGTTCCCACTCTCAAATCAAAGGTGGTCCTTTGATGACCTCACCACCTCCCTTGGCCAGAGAGAGCCTAGAGCTTTGCATCCTGGCTTTAAGATGATGGGACGTTCATATCTTACGTCTTACAGGTCACTGAATGAGACACCAAGGCCAAATTTCCAGTTCCACACAGTTTGCCTTTTTTTTTTTTTTTTTTTTAGCAAAGTTCAATCATACATGGTCATTATATGCCTGGTCCCAGATGCTGTGGCTATCCAAGTAACTGTCTCATCCAGCTTTGGGAGTCCTGGCTGTTTAGGTCCTTGCAATAAGCAGAGAAAGGGAGAGACTTTGAGGCTAGTGCCAGAATGATGCTCTTGGAGGCTGAAGTCCTCCACCTACAGAACTGCACCAGCATAGTCAGCGACATGGCAAGCTTTGCCCAGCAAATGTGCCTCTTCCCACATCTGGTGATTCTTGACTGGGTTATCTAGTCACTAAAACCCACTCACGCTTTGCTGAGACTGCCAACCAAGTTTTAACTGTTGTGGGTTTTGAAACATGGGCATCTGTCCACTGGGAACTGGACTGAAACCACTAACAACATCTGATAGACTGGGCTTGAGTTGATGACCTGGAGATGAAAAGCTCCGCATCTCATTCCCAGTCCTCTGAGCCATCCAATCCCCAACACCCACACCACCCCTAAGTCCCTAATAGTTCTCTAATAGAAAATAACAGGAGCCCAAATACTTGCCACCCAAAATTGAAGCTTAATCCGTGTTTCCTATAAGGGTTACCGCAAACCTTTGTCGAAGCAGATATGTTAACCTACCTTTTGGTGCAGAGCACAGTAGGTTTTCAGCTTTAAATTACCATTGTACAGGAACTAATGGCCGTTACAATGGAACTGACTGTGGAAAAACAAGGAACCTGAGCAATTATTAGGTGTATATTCCCAGTGAAAACAACTCATATAAAGACATTGTCAGTAAAATACATGATTGATCATCTGGGTCTAGCTCACTTTCATTTTCTTTCCAAGTTGTTCTACTGTATGATGTTAATAGTACTGCAATTATTTTAATGAACTGCACTAAGGGAATTTACAATGTGAATAACTCGGATGCTACCAAGCTGGGAACTCTGACAAGCATTTCTTACTAAGGAGTCAGATATTGCACACAAAAGGGGCGCTGGCCTGGGTCCCTACAAACATCCAACTTTGGGAATGACTGAGGTATGAATTTACAAAGGTGCACTTTGAATACCTGGTACGATGCTACACATTCAAGGCCTGACCCAAAGCCCATTAAAGTCAGTGGAAAGACTGCATTCTTTATACATGCAAAACTCCCATTGCATTCAAAATGAATGGGCGTTTTGGGTGCATAAAGAATGCAATATTGGGCCACAAGACAGAGAAATGTTCAGATTGATGTTGTGCAGGGATACAGCCATGTCTCCTGTCGGTAACATTAATGGAAGGTACACAGTTACTTTCTTGCTTGATGGGCTAAATAAATGGGGTTGATTCAATCTCAGTGAAAAGCAGGTGCATCTCAGCTCCCTTGAAGCCAATGGGTTTATATTAGTTTAAAGTGAGGGTTAAATCAGGCCCAATTGTTTCCCACTCTGAGATTGAGTGATCCAGTGCAGCTCTAATAACTGACCCACACTGCTACATCACACTCAAGCTGAACTTTTTGGGGGGGCGGGGGGGAGGGATGGGAAGGAAGGAAAGAGAGCTCAGGAAAAGTTGATTTAACTTAATACACATTTCTATGTGTGACTTCTGGTCTTTTGCACCAGACTGGCTATTCTAATGCTATTCCTGGCTCAACCATAAATGAGAAGGACCAGACAACACCACAAGAGAGCTTGTTAGGAGATTTCCCTGCTGATTCGAGAGGCTGGGATAAATGCTGAAGCTACGGGAGTCGAGACAGGCCCGCAGCCAAGTTCCAATCCCAGCCTGAGGCTTCCCATAGCTTGTGAGTGTTTGCATCCCTGGGGGCTGATTTGGGCTGATGGCTGCTCAGCAGTAGGTCAGAACTAGGCCTGCCTATCACTGGGGAGGACCTGCAAGCTAATCCATTGCATGTATGGAAAGATCTATAAACACGCTGTCATAGCCATTTGGGGGAAGCCTTCAGCCCAATACAGAGCCCAAGGGCCTGGCCCAGGTGCTGGGGCGATGAACACCGGGAGAAGCATCTTCCCCACTAGTCCGCAGAGTGACTCCACAGCTGCTTTACCAAGGTTTTGTTCCCCTTGTACTCCTCCAGCTTGAGGAGAAGACTGAAGAATCTGTGCTGGGCAGATGCTTTAGTTCTGCCCTAGCCTGATGATACCCCACCTGCACGCGCCTCCTGCTTGGCTCTATGGCCGATCAGGTGTGTGAACCCCCGGTGCATCCTGTCCCAACTCCAGCCCCCTGCCTTGTGCAGCTGCGCCACGCTGGCTGCAGAGCTGGGGGTCTCTGTGTGGCTACGGAGAGGGGGGCTGCATTTGCCCCTTAAGGACATACCCTGTGTTTCTTACTCAGTGTTTAGTTGTATCTGAGGGAGACAAACTCCCAAGGAGGAGAAGCTGTGGCATTTGGCCCTGGGCTTGTAGCAGAGTGAGTGATCCCCTAATTTCTTCTATTCCCTGGAGTCCAGTAGGATTAAGAAACACTGATCAAAGAAGGACATTCCCATTTCATCTTGTGGCAGTTGCTCATTGTCAGCTGCTGCTGTGGCAGCTAAGAAGGTGAAATGGGAACTGCATGTTCATGCAGAAATGGCAGGGCAATAAAAATCGATGCAAAATAGAAAAAAACAACCCCACACCGGATGATATTTTATTTCAAATGTCCTCAGAAAAGCCAGGGACCAAATCAAAGCTTGGGGCTCAAAGCTTCTCCACGACATCGATGAGCTGCATTATTCTGGACAGACCCGTTAGGCTCTTTGGAAAGGTGTGTCACTTGTTTTCTGCAGCCCTACAACAACCTGAGATGCTGTAAAAATAGCTGACAATGTCTGATTGACAGCTGAGGATGTGACCCTAAACTCTGATATTTTCCTTTTCCTGGTGAAATCAATGGTGCCTCAGACAGATGCTGAACTACATGTGTTTGCGGTGGGAGTGCCATTTTAGGCCAGTTTCTTTTGAAACGGGGGTTGGAATTGCGAAGGATCAGTGGCGCTCCGGGCTCACAAAGAGGCACTGTCTTTGAGGAATCTTTACATAAGCCCCGCAGAACCAAGGCAGCAGGAGTTTGCACAGCTGCTGCTGGAAGCAAACATGTACTTTTAGCTGACCTGTGCTGATGGCTTTGGGCATTAAATCTGACGCTTTCCAGATGTACAGCCCTCTCTTGCCACAATCCAAAAACATTTGGTCCCCAGGTTAAAAAAAAAAAAGGTGCTGTAAATACCACATTGTACTATATATTCCAGAGCCTACATTCACAATTTCACTCTAAGACCTTAAGGTGTATACTAAGCTGGGAATTTACAAGGAGGGTTTCAAAATAAGTTTGGTTCAAAGTTAGTTACTGTGCCAGTCTTCATAATTCTTTGCTCTTGATTGGGGCTTTTTCTTCATCCGAATGAGGCTCGTTAGCCAGCGTTTCTTTTAATATATTAATTCTAAGTTAGCCATAAATCCAGTGACCTCTGCAAATGCAAACATAAGACTCCTATTGATTTTGCTGGGCATTCAAATGAGCCCCGAAACCATTGGCAGGGAAATGGAAGCCTTCAAAATAATTTGCAGATATGCCTTTTGCAAAAAAATCAAAAAATATTTGATTCAGAGCCAGGGGTTTCGATCCTGGGTTGGATCAGAACTTTTTGGGGAACTTGGGACCAAGGCTGAGATTTGGGTCGGGGACAGCCGCATTGCCATGGGCAGAAAGCTGTGCTTTAGTTTAAGGTCATGACTGACATGCGGAATGGCACTGACAGTTCCATGACTTGTGCAGTCGTTGGTGTGACAAGACTCGCTATTATTGGATAGTGTGTGGAGGCTGGAGAGAAACACGGTTTTGTATTTAGAAAGGATACGGGACTGGTAGTAATAGAAAATCAAGCCTTCTGGTGAACCAGAGGCCAGTCTGGTGCAGACAGCTGCAGCATGAGCTCTCTTCAGACCACCCTGCCAATTCTCTCAAGCGTGACCTGGACTGAAGGACCTTGAAAGGAAAAGGTGATTGGCTCAACACTTGCTCCTTCCTTTTCCTCCAGCTTGCCATCTGGGTTGAGCGGGAAGGATCCTGTGCACTAGCATTGTCACAAGGCCCAATTCTGATCTCATGCATGGCATTGTGAATCAAGAGTAGCTCCAGTGAAGTCAGAGGTGCAAGTGAGATCAGAATCGGTCCCAGAAAACCTACAGTGACTTAAGGACTCAGCTGAGGTTACTGATTTGGATTGCGTCTATGAGTGTCAGCTGAATTCAGATGTCTGGTCTTAGAGATGAAAGAGACAGAGATAAAAATAAAACTCAGGTAAAAGTATTAACTGATGCCTAAAAGGGACCTGAATTGAGATTATATCCACATAGAGTCATAGCCAAACCAGAGAAACATAACTAGCTCACAGGCATATATAAACTCCCATTCTGGAGTCATGCTGATCTCAGGCATTCAGAAAAGTGGGGTACCCAGCTGATGTTCCCTTCTTTCTGACTGCCTGACATTCACTAAACTCCCCAGCTTGGCTTGACCTGTTTACAGGCGCCTTTCCCAGCATGTTATCCTGGTAGCTGGCCCTTTAAATCTGGGAAAGGCAAGTAGCTGCAGCCCAAGCCTGGGTATTTTACTTCTTATTTCTGCAGAGCTGCAAGTCCCTTTTGTGAGGATTTAGTTTCTTTCAGCTTCTCTTTCCTTCCCCCTCTCCTCTGACTCCAGGGGAGTGGCTGTGTTCAAGGGGTGAGCACGGCTTCGGACAGCACAGAGCTCGGAGGAGTCCATGTGATCTAAGTTTTAATAAGATCTGAGCGTTATTCGGACTTTCCGTCCCACATTTCAATGTTTGTTTTTGTCCCAAACTGGGACAAAAAGTTGAAATTTCGAAATTGTTCATGGAACAGAAATTCTCAAAAAATTCAAGTTGGAAACGCCAACTGGTTTTATTTTGACATTTTTTGATTAAAATGAAACATCTTAACATCCCCACAAATCTGAATATTTCATTTCAATTTGTTGAACTCACCTGAAGTGCTTTGTTTCCAGTCAGTTCAACATTAAATTCCATTTTTTCATTGTGGCGCATTGCCTCATGGGAGCTATAGTTCAGGAACCTGACACCCCCATTTTCACTGGCTGGACTACTTCTCCCATGATGCACCATACCAAGCTTGCTTGGAAGGTAAGCCACATTGCATGAGGGGAGATGTAATCCTCCGGGGATCTTGGCCCATAGGTGAGAATGGGGGTCTAAACTACAAAACCCATAAGGCAATGTGCTGTTAGGGACATGCAGTTTGTTTTATTGAACTAATTCAAAACAAAAAGTTTTGGGTCAGTTCAACAAAATGAAATATTCCGATTTGGGTCAAACTGACGCAAAATGAAATATTGCTTTTAGATTTTCCCAATGGGAAACTGAATTTGGGGGGAGGGCCAAAACCAAGATTTTTCCCATGCAAATTTTCAATTTTGCAGAAACTGCATTTTCCATCGGAAAATCATCCCAACAGAAAATTCTCAACCAATTCTAGTTTTTGTCTAAGTGCATATCTTTAGGGCCGGATCCAAAGCCCACTGACGTAACTAGGAGTCTAATCATTGCCTTCGGTAGGCTTTGGATAAGGTCAGAAGTTTGCCAAAGTACACTCTATAAACCTAAAAATAAATTGCAAATCTAAGTCATTGAGGGATTTTCTCCAGTCACTAGAATGATCAGCCATATCCCAAAACAAAGGAGTCGGCTGGAGAGAGTGACCTATTTATCAATAAAGTAACAGTGTGCTTTTGCAGCCTCAGTCACTGGAATGCTCTGCGTTATTCCTGAGCCCAACAAGGAGGGAGGTAGCATTATGCAAGCTGCATTAACCTGCAGCAAACCGCTAACAGATCCTTACAAATAATTTCCCCATTAAGTGTCAACCCCAGAGGGGACAGATGGGATGTGTTGCTGCATGAGAGGATTCCTAAATTGGTTTCCCTGCTCAAAGAACTACAGAGAGCTGTGCTGCCCTGTTTAAAAAACATTTGTGTTACAAGCCTAGTCCCGGCGAGGAATCTTGCCCCAGCTGTAACATGTAACAACTTCACTCTCTGCCCTGGGAAGTGGAGATGTCCCTACTATATGGTCTGGGGGTTGCTCTAATTACTGCAGCCTCCCGAGGCCTGTAGATGAGCTATGTAACAGTCCAGCATCTCTGTAGCACCATATGTTACACAGGTATCCCTCTGCTTCTCCCCCTACCTTGCCCCCAGTCCAGGCTTGGCAAGGTGGGGCTATGTAGAACTGATTACATCGGCCCAACACTGCCTGCTCTAGGGGAATTCTCTTGCTGCCCTTTGCGGCATTCTGACTACCCGCTATGCCTCCACAGAGATGTATAGGGGCCAGGCCTGGGGGGAGGGTCTCTCCCCTAGTTGGAGGAACCTGTTAAAGGGGGGGAAGTCCTTTGCCGCAGTTAACGCATGGTTTAGCACAGCATGTAGATGGGGTGGAGTGCAAGGGCTGTAATACACTCAGGGGATGGAGTTAAAACATGCCTAGGTCCTAGCTGCACTGCAGGCAGGGCCAGCGCAACCCATTAGGCGACCTAAGCTGTCACCTACGGCGCTAACATTTGGGGGGTGGCGACCGCGGCGGCCGGATCTTCGGCCGCCCCGTTCGTCGGCGGTATTTCGGGGGCGGGACCTTCCGCCGCCTAGGGCAGCAAAAAAGCTGGCGGCGCTCCTGACTGCAAGAGTCAACCACACTGCAGGACGGGTGTAGCATGTTTTGTTGCACAATATCAGAGGCAGGTACCGGGTGGGTTTGGTGATGGCTGGGCTCAGTTTGAGCTGTGGGAGAATGTTCCGGTCATCCCTAATTTCATTCACACTTGTTCCCCCATCTTCACCTTTCATCAGTGAGAACCATCCATGCACGTCTCGGAGACACCACGAGGTCCTGCACCAGTGCCACAGGAGTCCAGCCATGACCTTCCTGCTATTTCTAAGGTAAAGAACAAGCAAAACCCCTGCTCCCCCCCCATTTTCCCCATAAAACCTTTCCAGCCTTCTCTACCTAGCATCCAAAAAGGTACAAGCCCAACGTTTACAAATTATTTTCCACGTCACCTTTAAATCTGCACTAGTTCTGGTTCTTCTGGCTTCTTTTTATTGTATGAATTATATTCCCCCCCCCACACACACACACACGCACGCACACATTGGCCTGCTAAACCCAGGGTTGTGAATTCAATCCTTGAGGGGGCCACTTAGGGATCTGGGGAAAATCAGTACTTGGTCCTGCTAGTGAAGGTAGGGGGCTGGACTCGATGACCTTTCAGGGTCCCTTCCAGTTCTATGACGTAGGTTGGTTTTTTGTTTGCAAGGTGCTGGAGATGGAGCCCTGTGTTATGCACCAAAAAGGTATAGTCCCCTTCCCCCCCCGGTGACTTCCATGACCAATGCGTCTGCATTGACTAGTCCAGTCTCCAGGGACCAGTCTCCTTGGTGTCTCTACTGAGGCTGCCAGTCATGGTTGGGAGGTTCATGATGCTGACAGCTGTGCTCTAAGAACTCGAATAAGAGCTCCCGCTAATTTTGTGTAGGCCATCAAACAATCATCAGCTGGTCACAACTGACTGGAGTCAAACCAGTGCCCCAGAGGGGTAAGACTGCAATAGAGGTGCCATTGGTAATCCACTGAGCCATCTCTAAAAATTACAAACAAAGCAAGATCTTTTCCGGACTCTCTCAAGGACTCCCTTCCAGCCCCTGATTAGCACCTGTAACTCCCATAGGCGATACCTGTGAGAGCAGAGGTGAGAATCCCCATGTGATATAATCTTGCCCATCCCCCCCATTCATTCCTGTCAGTGTGCTCACTGCAGCCTTTTATGGATTGCTTTGCAAGCGCTGACAGTGAACTCTTCATTATAATTACAGTGACTCAACCCTGTGTGGTTTACCTGTTACTTTGTCCTGTTAGCTCAGCTGGCCTGAGTCACCTTCAGGGGCAGAAAAAGCATTGCCATGTCTCAGCTGTAAAGCGTCAGTAACTGTTTACATCTTGTTGGCTAATGGATCATTAAAGATAATTAAAACTAAGCCATTGCCTGCAGATGCTGCCATTTTATGGGTATCTGTGTCACACGCAGCTGTATTCAGAGTAGAAACAAACTATAATTGTGGCTTGTGTGACGACCGTTTTAGTCTGAACATCAGTGCATACCAGCCTCTGTGATTCAATGCCTCTGACTATACTTTGGTCCAGTTAGAAAGCGGAGTGTTTTGAAATGTGAGCCCTCGGAGATCAGTTCCACTGAGTCAAAATACACCCAGCTGGGGTTTCTCTTTTAAGAGTGAACAGGGGGGAGAAATCATTCTTCTTCTGGAATGGCAAGATGATCATCAAGGAGATAAAGAGTGTGAATTCGCTCCCCTGATCAGATTAATTACCACTGGCTGACATTCACCTGATTTTCCTTCCTTGGAACCTCCTCAGAGGCTGCGTTCAAATGCTCGCTCCTGGCCCTTGCCCCATTTTTATAAGGATTGCTGATTAAACGATGCTGAGAATAGCCTCCCTTCCACCACGGTGGTCAGAGAGGGAGATTAACCAAATCTGCTGGTAAACCTCACTTGCGCTGGGTGTGTTGCCAATCCCTTTCATTTGCTAATCCAGATACACTGATTCCAGGTAATTGTACCCATTCATTTCCTGGTTGGTGTAGTCTATACTAACTCCACAAACCACAGGGAAACCTGAAACCCCAGATGGGGAGCTTTGCTCCTGCAAGCTGCTCTCTTAGGCGCAGATCCTCATTTGGGCCCTGTGTAAGGAGGAGAGTAGCATTCGGAGCACCTACATTGCTCATAGGCACATATTGCCTTGCCTGTGCTAGGCTTTGCTGCCAGCAATGTATCCCCCTTGCTCTCACCAATTCTGCAGGAGCGATAATATAGGCAAGATACCGGCAGCTGCGTTGTCACCACCCTGCCATGTGCTCACCCTTGTGGGAGGGAAGGTAGCCCAGCAAGCCAAGCGCTAGGACTCGGAAGACCTGGGTTCTATTCCTCTCTCTGCCATTGGCCTGCAGGGGCAAATCATTTCTCCTCTCAGGTTCCTCATCTGTAAATTGGGGAGGGTCACTCTGACCTCCTTTGTGAAGTGCTCTGAGATGGAAAATGCTGTATACGAGCAAGGCATTATCTTTATCTAGACCTACTGCACAGCACAGTGGGATGTACGCTAATGGCAACAGGATCCTGGTGTGAAGGACGTGGGAGCCGCCCGGGTGGCTGGCTGTTCGTCTGCTGTTTGCTGTAGGATTACAGCTGGAGCTAAAGGGGGCAGTCACTTGTGATAGGCCCCATTCACTGATACTTCGTGGCCAAGACAGGTGTCACTCACTCACTGTGAAGTTTTACCTCTGACCGTGCTGAGTTCAACAGCCCAGCCTGGTGCTGGGAAAGGGGAACTCCAGGCAGGAAACTGGACATGAGGGGGAATAAAAACACCCCCCCAAAGTGCGGCAAAGAGAGTGGCAAAGGCTGCTGGGAAGGGGACTGAACTCCAGTCCCCAAGGTTGAGGGTGTCGGGGGTGGGCTAGGCCTGACTTAGCCTATAGGTAAGACAGAGGTGTGTATAGACCTTGCCCGGTGTCCAGGCCCTTTGCTCTTGCTGCACTGTGTTCCCATGGTTGAGATTAAACAACACTTCGCTTTGAAAAGGCTGTTCAGATCACTTCCTGAAGGGAAGATCTGCAGGATCTGAACCCCGTCGGGCCTAATGAGCAATCACGCAGGCAGGGGCTGTAGTGCCAGGCCCAGTCCAGGAATGGAGGAATTGTGGGAATCCATCCTAGGCCAGGTGACGGCAACAGGCCTAACTCCTTAGGGAGGTGCGCTCAGAAAGACCATGGAGGGATCAAAGGTTCAGCTAACCCTGAACGGGGACCGAGGGCTCTTGTCATTGGAGCTGAATTGGTGAGAGCCATGGTGGGGGATTTTGGGCAGAGAAGCCTTGTGTGGACATAGTATTCATGTGCCCCTCAGGTATCACTTAATCTAATTTAATCTCTGATACGAAGAGTGCCACAAATGCAGCTGGCACTTTAAAGGTACCCAAGAAGTGACAAGGCACCCTCTCCAGAGCACTTGGAATCCAGCTCAGACAGCTGCATGAGCAGGGACGACAGTCGCAGGGCAAGAGTTTTGGGAGCGTCAACACGGGAAAGTGGTGAAAAATTGTTACGAGGTGTGTGTGGAGAAGGAGGGTACTTGGCATGTGGATTGGGAGGTTGTTCCAGGCACAGGCGGCTGTGTGAAATAAAGGCATGCAGGCAAGAATAGCAGCAAGTGACGTTTGGGAAGAGGGTTGGGAGGATTTGGGGGGAGCAGGAGTAGGTGGGAGGAAAAAGGTAGCCAGGACAGAGTCCTGTAGGGCTTTGGAGGTCAGAAGAAGGCACTTGAGCTTGCTGTAGATAAGGAGAGGGAGCCAGCTGAGGGATTTGGGGAGCATTTGGTGCAGTGGGAGAGAAAGATGATGGTGGCAGAGTGGGCTGGAGAGGTAAGAACCTGGGAAGCCAGAGAGTAGGTGGTTCTCGCAGGAACTCTATGGCAGTGGTTCTCAACCAGGGGTACACGTACCCCTGGGGGTACGCCGAGGTCTTCCAGGGGGTATATCAACTCATCTAGATATTTGCCTAGTTGGGCGACAGGCTACATAAAATGCACTAGCAAAGTCAGAACAAACTAAAATTTCATACAGACAATGACTTGTTTATACTGCTCTATATACTATATACTATACACTGAAATGTAAGTACGATATTTATATTCCAATCGATTTATTTGATAATTATATGGTTAAAAGGAGAAAATCAGCACTTTTTCAATAACAGTGCTGTGACACTTTTGTATTTTTATCTCTGGTTTTGTAAGCAAGTAGTTTTTAAGTGAGGTGAAACGTGGGAGTACGCAAGACAAATCAGGCTCCTGAAAGGGGTCCAGTAGTCTGGAAAGGTTGAGAGCCACTGGTCTATGGTCCTGCTGATGCCGATGAATACACCAGAGAGCCCAGCATCATAGCCCCCGATGACCTGTCAGGCTGCCCCTCCCCCTGCACCCCGCAGAGGTCAGTGTGGGCGTTTCAGCGCCTGCCTCCGCAGTCAAACATTGAATTTCAATAGCAGTAATTGCTTCTGATGGGGCAGCCACTTAATTCTGCCTGATCCAGGAGCAGAAGTCAGACGTTGGGGAAGTTGGTCTCTTTCCTTCCCGAGCTCCTTGTAATGCCCCTCTGTGCACTGAATATGTATTTTTTTCCACATGTTGTGAAATGGAGTTTGCCTCCACTAAAACAATCGTGTGATCAGCCTGTTGTACAGCAGCCACCGTGCTTTCCTGTCTGTCCTTCGTCATTCACCGCCCTCACGGTCTCGTTTCTCAGGGCGGCTTTCTCAGCTCGGCCATTTTCTGCGCTTGTGGGTGTTAAGTTGTGGCAATAATAATCCTGGCCCTGGTGAGAATACCAAACGTGTAGTTTGTTGATCCTGGATGGCTGAGTTGTACTACTGGCTGGCTGGCTGAGCTGCTAGAACTGGCAGACGGAGCTATTTCCAGTGCGTTCCTCTGACAGGGGAAAGTGTGTTTTCAAATTTCTTCTTTCTTCTCCCCCCTTGGAGCCAGCAGCTGCCAGAAAACTTTGGAGAGGAAACTTCAGAGTTCTTCTGTAGCTCTCGCCTGTGGACTGCGAGCAGGCAGAGTTGGCAGGGCTCTTGCTGCAGGCTGGAGAATACTCTGCAAAGCCGTTCGTCAAGTTCATGCTGCTTTAATCGTAGCCGTTTTCCTCCTGCTGGGGTTGATGACACCATAGGGGGCGCTTGTCCCTGGGATCCAATAATGAAGCTGCGCCCAACATGATATCCATCCGTTAGCACTGGACTGCCGGAGATGCCACCTTTCAGGAGAGGTGCAGAAACAAGGTCCT